GATCTCTTTCCGATCCTGGATCCTTCCGAGTGGGTTTCCTTTTGGTAAACAAATGGAAGTTTGATGGGATCTCAAGGCCAAATAATTAAGGATCTACACGTAATTAATCGGGATAAAGAATATATTTTGCTTGCTCCAGACAACCAAGCAAAAAGATGTTATCCTTTTTAGCTTATTGTTATCATCCTTCTCTGTCATCTTTCTTTCTTACCTTAGCGAATGATCGGCTCATTTAAGTCTTCTATGGATATAGGGAAGGAGTATACACGAAGTTAGCTTCTTTTCCCCTTGTGTGTTGCACCAGCTCTACGTGGTGGATCGTGACATGATGAGCTGGGAAATATTGATTCAAGATGTTCTATTTGATGCTTCTTTGACAGGCTGAAGAGAAGTCTTCAAATATCAATTTTTTATCCTGAGACCTGAGTTCTACATCCAGATCATCTTTAGAAATCTCTCTGAAGATTAATTAGGGTTTCTAATTATGCTATTTTATTGTGATTAAGCGTATCCGAGTACAAGCGTTGGGGACATGGCAAGGATGTGCCCAAATAGATCTCATTTGGTACATGTGGACTGCATAATTATTTTCAGCGGAGCTGAGGTCCCATCACATCTATCAGTCTTGTGAGAACCTAAGGTTTTACCTCTTTCTGGAAGAAACCATCTCATCTATCATTCTGTAGAAAAAAGATAATAGTTTCTTCAGAAGACCAATCTTGTTATGCTCTTTAGCTCTTCCAGTAAATGCATCCTTGTTTTCTGGACCTTAGTTTTCAGATATCCCAATGCCCGTCTGCTCCTATTGCAAATGTGATCTAATTTCTAGTCCTTCGCTGTCAAGACTTCAGTATTCGGAGCCAAGCATCTCTACATGGTAGTAACATGCATGGTTTTCCCGCGGACACTTCTTTTCTCCGATTTGACCTTCACTTTGTGCAGCATCTATGACATGTTCTCCTTCCGAAGCTGTCATTGTAATTTTAGCCAGTTCTTAGCTTTCTTATGAGCACAAATACCCGACATGCGCCTGCACGCAATAGTTTCTCCTACCATAAATATGTAATGCCTTTTACTCCGAAGAACTCATGCTTGAGAATACTTTCGAGTGATTCTTGGTTGGATCAATTGCCACTAGGCATAAAAGGCCTAATTTCCTTTCATTTAAAGCTGGTTTCGATTTTTTTTTCCCTTGGTTTGAGTTATTTCATAATAATTGAATAAAGTTCGTGCAACCAATCTTTTAAGTCAATTTTATACATAAATTAATTAAATATAGTTATCAATAGAATACTTTGTTTTTTCCTCAAATATGGCAAACTCAAGTTTTTATCCAATCTTAATAGTTCTTATATCTTTATTGCTTCATCTTGAATTCTTATTCATCTTGATTAATCATCAGAGTTTCTTCATCCTCTTTCAGTATTAAATTTTCATAGTAGTTTATCGTGATAGTGCATTGGTTTTCATTATTAAACATGGATCCTATTTTTGTAATCTCGATGAATCCATGAGAAGTACCTCAATATTTATTCTCAATATTAATGTGTAGAGTTACTAGGAATTTTTTAAATTTATAATTAATAAGGTATCACTTCGATAAAAGATAAGATAAGAGAAAATTGTTTAAGATAATATGTTCTTAGGAGATTTCCAAACACGATAGTCAGAAGAGATAAAATGATTAATATTAGTAGTACTATGAGAGATAGCGAAAGACTAAAAAAGACCTTAATAAAAATCATAAATAAAAATTTAAATACTCTGTACTTAACTAGACATGACTTTTTTACATATCTCAATAATAATAAAAGATCCATATGGTTGATCCTAAATAATTCGGACTTATAACTTAGCTATTGTTGTAATAGTATCTTATGCCTAGTTAGAAATTTGAAATTTGTTTATTTTATTTTATTTTATTTTCATATTTTGATTTTGAATTTTACTTTATACCTGACTTTGTCACACAACTTACTTGTCAAATTATTGTGGAAAAAATAGCTTTTGAATGTGACATTTGTTATTGTAAGTTTTTTGTTTATTATCTTGTGCTCCCTTAATTTTCATTAAGATATAAAAGCTTTCACGGAAATCTTCATGTTAAGAGCAAACAATATCATATTCTTAGATATTTTTTAGTAGTTAATATGTTATGCATTATAACCAAAAGAATGCACATTGTCTGTAAGTCCCAACTCTATGTTTTGAAATATTTATATATTTATTATTTAATAGATGAGATGCACTAGCCATGCTTCATATAAATTAAACCACTATAACATATATCAACTTCATTATCCATGGAAAATGAAGCAAAAGACTACAACTATTTAAAAAGAAAAAAAATCGAGACTGTATGTTTTTAAATTTCCAAATCATTAGTTAAATTTGACAAAAATACCAGACCTAACTTGCAGCTCTTTGGAGCTTCAATTTTTGGTACTTTTGATTATTGCTATTGAAATGTATTTCACACATTACACAACTCATATTTGAGCTTTGATAATCTGTTACCTTAATTTTATAGTATGTTGAGGACACTAGAGAGGTACCAAAAGTGCAATTATGGTGCACCAGAAACAAATATCATATCAAGGGAGACTCAGGTAAATGAATCTATTTAAAGTTATTCTTACACTAATATTAGCTGTTCTCCTCCAACATGTAATATGTTAGAAGATGGTGTTGATAGAAAAATTTACAAATCTGATTTCTGAAACTTGATCAAGTTTCTTCTATCTTGGATGTCTATAGTCATGAAGAACCAACATGCTTGTCATTCTTATCTATTTTGCGTCATGAAGGTTCAGTGTGACCCAGCAGTTCAAATGCTTCGATTCTATAAATTTCCATTCGCGTAAATTTTGGGTTGTCATACCAAGACCAGATAGAGTAGTATTGCACTACAGATTTTGCAAACCAAATGTCAAATTTCTTGTGGCTATGTATATATTGCTACATGGAGTTATAAATGTGAAGCATAGATGGGATGATTCTGGGGCTCGAGTGTCAAGAGTGAAAGACATGACTAAAATACCAACAACAAAATATTATTGGTATAGAAGAAATAAAAATGATAGTGGGACAACATATTGCTAAAATTGCCAAAGGTAGAAGTCATCCACTGAGAAAGAATATGAAACTAATGAATGTAGAAGAAAAGAAGACAGTAGAACTACTTGGATTTAGTCAGATAGGTTGACTCTTTATTCTTCCTTGCTCGAACCACTGTTATTGAGAACTGTCAATAAGTTCACTGCAGAAGGTAATGTTGCACACTGAGGTGCCTACTATGTAAGAATGTACTCTCTAGAGATGAATTGTTCTTATGCCCTTTGCAAAAGAGAGAGTTCCTTACGCCCAGTTTTGGCAAAATCATCAGAGTAGTCAGCAAGAGTATTTGAAGCTTAAGGCGCGTGTTGATGGCTTGCAGCGATCACAAAGGTGAACAACTCCTTGTTTTGTCTTTGATCTTAGCCTGCTTTTTGGTACACAAGAAACACAGCTTTCACAGGAATGTCGAAAGACCATCGACGGACTAATTGTTCTGCATCAAAACCTAGAAATCTGCTGGGTGAAGATCTGGGGCCACTTAACATCAAGGAACTTGAGCAGCTTGAGCGCCAACTTGATGCATCGTTAAGACAAATAAGATCAACAAGGGTAATTAATGTGCAATCTTCTAATAAATGCTTTCTGATACCGCATTACTATGTCCATGTCACTCTGATGATAAATTTTGTTCATCAGCTCGTTAATATATGTAGGTCGATCATCTTTTTGTGCATCTTACTATAGATACGAGTTATCGAATGCTGAAAACATCAGCCACTGATGATGAACTTGTATCTTTCTACAGACACAATACATGCTTGACCAGCTTGGAGATCTCCAAAGACGGGTATAGTACTGGAAAAATGAATCATGCTTTGTTCATATCATCCTTCCTTTCAAGTAACACTGTGTCTGTTTACAGGAACAAATGCTATGTGAAGCTAATAAATCCCTGAAGATAAGAGTAAGTAGCTTTCTTGTGTTCATGCAATCTAATATGTTCGGTGACTGGTTTATCATATCGAGAATCTTGTGATGGTTTTCCACATGACAAGCAGTTGGAGGAAAGCAGTGACGCGGATCAGCAACAGCTGTGGGATCCCAACACTCATGCTGTAGCTTACGGGCGGCAGCAGCCTCAACCACAGGGCGACGGCTTCTTCCAATCCATAGACTGTGAACCTACTCTTCAGATTGGGTAATCCCAACTACTCTTCTTCTGCCTGCCTCTATATATGCAACTAGGAAACGAGTTCTCATTGTGCGTAGTATTGATTGCCTCCAGGTACCATCCAGATCAAATGGCGATCGCAGCAGCAGCAGCAGCAGCAGCTCCTGGTCCAAGTTACATGCCCGGGTGGCTTGCATGAACGAAGAACATACCTTACCTTGCCTTGAATGGTAATGAATGTTACTGTTTCTTGTGCTGATTGATGCGGTCTGTAGCTAGTACAATAATCCTGTTTGTGAACTGCCATATAAAGAACTCCGACGGAAGAGCTGCTCCAGTAATCATGTCTGTGCACTTGACTACATCTAAATGCCGAGTTTAAATTGGAACACTCGTGTTCTTGAAAGTAGCGAGAGAGTCAACTATCTTTATCGTTTGTAGGACCCTTCTCTTGGTCGGGAGCATGATAAAACGATTGTACTTTGCAAGGAGTCTTTATATAGCACCAATCGGGATTCAGTGATAGTGGTAGGTAGGAGCTTTGGTGGAGGCACAAGAGGTGTGGCTAGATTAGGGATGGGTCACTATTGGGTTAATTACACAAGGCAGGAATGAGATGAGAGTTTGTGTAAATTGCCTGCAAAGGCTTAAACTTGTTGGGTTATGTTAGTACATTTACAATAGGTGGAAAGTTAGTTTGTCATATAATGAATGATGGTGGGTTTACTTTAGGGCCATTGAACAAATACCGAAAGACACAAGGGTATGGAAAATGGGTTATTCTGAAAGACAAAAGAAAGTTTTCTTGGTTTTCCAAATTAAATTATAGGTTCTATCTAATGTAAGATATATTATGAATATAATTAGATTTTGATTAAGATTCGATCAATATAAAAAAAGCTCAATTATGATATGATTTCTCGTGACATGATTCGACAAGAGAGACTTTCATAATTACTTATCTTAGATCCTTTGTTTTCACTTATAAATAAATATGATCTACTAAAAACATAATACGTGGATACGTGATATTATTGAAATATTATAGATTTTTTTTTCTCCCCTTAGTAACGTGAATCAATCATTAAAAGATTATAAAACTTCTATCATCTTCTCTTTGTCCTTAATTTATCGCTCGTTGTGATCTTGTGGAAAATAGAAAGAGAAGAGAAGGCGGGTCTAATTCTCTCGGCAGATCGACATCGCTATAGCTTTTGGATCCGATAATAGTACATGCGTAGATCAAAGAAAAGCTTTCTGAATGACATCGAAAGCTATGCATCGTAAATTTAATCTAATGTTATTTGATTTCAGATTTTGATATTAAAGTTTTTCACATAATAGAAGCATAAGAATGATTTTTATACTCACAATTAGTATCAGAGTCATATTTGTAAAATCAAATACTTTATATTCATTTGTTAGCACATTTCACTCATGAAAAAAATATTATTTGGCTTTTATTTACGATGCATGAACAATTCGTTTGTATTGTCGATTTACTTTTCTATCTAGTCCGTCCTATCTCTTACTTACGAGCGATGCAAGATTTCTCGTGTTTGATCGATGGGCCATTGTCGACAGCTTGCTATCTGTAATAGTATTATTGAGGGCGATGGCATTCGATGGTCATCAACCCAATCATGAACAATAATTACGTATGCAATATTGTAGAGTGTGATAGCCTTGCGATGACTATAGTAGCACCACTACCTGTGACGGTTGCAATGGCTATGAAGCATTGCTGCCTACAATAGTAGCAATGACTACACTAGTTACAACAATGATATTAAAAAAATAATATTCACAATGATACATATAATTATGATATTTAGATAATCTCAAAGAAAAATTATTTTAAATAATTATGTGATAGAGTATGATGATACTATTTTAAAAATCCTCATAGTTATATACCCAAAGATAATAACACTATTCCATAAAAATGATATCAGTCATTCATAAATATTTTTGTATGAACAATCAATATGTTAATATTTCACTCAAAAGTAAAATAAAAATAATCTTTAATTCAATATTTATTGAAAAACTCAAAATATTAATATTATATTATATTATTATAATAGTATTTCTTTTATTACATTATGATAAATGTCCCTATATTTTCTAAATTATATTATTATAAATGACTTGAGCATATGTATTATTATGATAAAGGTATCTTAAACCTTAATCAGACTAATTGAAAGTATCACAAACTTAACTATTGAAAGTTATATAGAATAAATAATTAAGATAAATAATCAAAAAATTTAAAAACTTAATTTTATGATAATTACTAATAATATTAGACTTCATTATAATATATAACTAGCGCACTAGAATATTTAAAATTTAATTTAAATTTACTGACAAGTTATTGACTGACATATTAATAAAAGAACTAACTGAAATTCAATATAACATTTAGGGAATTTAAGATTATATCCTCAATATGACTGACAAAGCTATAAGTTCAAGAACATTGAGCATGAATGTAGTTGAGTTCTTTCTCATATAGATTATTTTTAATTTTATTTCTTCTTGACTAATTTAAAATTTACTATAATAAGATTAAAGATAAGTAAAACTTAAATGAGCCGACTAAGATACATGTTTGGAAAGAATTAAGATTAAAGTAAGAAAGATTTATAACAATAGAAGTTAATTTTGTGGTATGCTTTAAGGTCACTAATCAAGCTTTTTTACTACGAAATTTTATCTCTAAGTCTTGATATAGTCAAACTCAATTGTGAAGTAACTAAAGATACTTTGTGACATATTACAATAGTTTTTTTCTAAAAATGATAAGTACTATTATAGCTCTATGCATTGTGGTACAAAGTACTTGATGATTAGAGAAAAAGAGTTTAGAAACAATTAATGTTAATTAAGAACTTATGTTTCATTGTTAATCCATTCACTTAAGATTTATAACCTAAATTATTTGAAAAAACATGTTCTTATAATTGGACTTGTGAGCAAAGATATCGTGACGTATATTTGAGTATATATTATAATTGATATTCTTATTTATGTAATTAAAGTTATTTATTTCTGTTATTCTATTAACATTTATGTATGTATTAAATATGTTAACAAGATTGTCTTGATAATATAAATTATAAGAGTCATTTTAAACTATATTAGGAAAGGTTAACGATTTTTGTGGTACATGAAAGAAGTATGATATTAATAATATACAACCGTTATGACTCGCATTGAAAGTCAAACTTAATATGATATTATGTTTATTGGATTTATTGGCCTATTTTATAAAATTTATATATACGTATAAAATATTTTTTTAAATTTTAAAATCTAATTAAATATATTTTTAAAATAAATTATTATTTTATTTATTTTGATTTTAAATTTTTTTTATATCTTACCGATTAATGGGCTAAGTGGGAGAATATTATATTATGTAATACTATCTAATTAGGTAATATATATTATGGATATGATTAGATTATGATTATGTTTATTGGTCGGAAATCCAATTATGATATGATTCTTTAGGAGATACGAGAAATCCTTAATTACTTATCATAAACTCTTTATTCTTGTTTATAAATAGACAAGACCTCTTATGGACTAAAAACATAATACGTTGATATATGACATTATTGAGAGATTATGTTATTGAAAGGAAAATACGAGTCTAATTCTCCTCGTAGATCAATATTGCTATATCTCGCTCATAGATCAGATAAAAACTTTCTGAATGACATATGCATCGTAAATTAATCTATTATTATTTGATTTTAGATTTTGACATTCATTTTTTTTTGTATAAAAGAATCGTAAGGATGATTTTTATTCTAACACACCTAGGAGGGTCCACTTTCAAGTTTGACACAAGCTGAGATATTGGGATACTAGGTGATTTCGACTAAGATCTTGCATACCTCTGTCGTGAGTATAATCGATAAAACTTCTTCTATGCTTAAGTTAGTATTAATTTAAAGATTTCTATCAAATGACAAGTACAAAGGGATAATACACTAAAGAGCATGATTGAGCCCTCCAGAATATACTTAGGGCTTTTTATAATCGAGTTAAAGTAGTGGTCAATGTGGCCGAGCTCATAGAGTCCTCATTGATGCCGGTGATAACTCAATAGATCTAAATTCTATCGACGTATCAATCGACCAAGTAAAATCAATGTATCAGTTAGATTCTGACCAGATTAAAATAACACATTGATGACTGCCCACGTATCATATTCTCCTAATCAAGGTGGTAGAGACCACGACGGGTAATCATAAAGCAATGCACACATAAGCTCATGTCTCAAGTCGGGCATAGCAACAGCAACACGTAGTGAACCGAGAAACATGTCAACAAAAGGAACAAGGAACAGATGTTGAGCAGGGCTAATTAAATATTATTCCGTATAATTAATTATCGTTAGCATCCCTGTCTTTCTTTTTTTTTAAGTTTACCACAATTTATCACTAAACAATTTAAAGTTCATATCCAGAAACTATCGGGCAAAGAAAGCAATCCAATACATAGAAAGCAGAGCAAACGATGCATAAAAGAAAGTGTCAATCAACGAGTATGATGAATGAATAAATGATCTTTATGCTAAGCAATTGTCCCAAAGCATAGACATTATTAAGATTGGTACCAAAATAAAACCAGTAAATTCATGACTAAACCGCATATAAATTGCCACAAAATTCGTCTACCAATACATAAAATGATCCAAAATCTTTTCTACTATCCAACCAACCAGAAGGGAAACCAAACAATTAATAACGAGAAAAGGGCAATCCTTCTACAGACCCAAATCCATCACAACAGCATTGCATAAGCCTATCGATTCATACCTTTGACTTCCCCTCTAAAAAGACTGATTCTTCAGGCATAGTTCAGACGGAATATGTCGTTCAGCACATAGAAGCTTCCCTGAGGTGTTGGCATTAGATGAAACATCTACAGCAAAAACACACAAATCAGTCACTTCTCTTGAGTTACAGAAAGATTTTGCTGTCTTCAACTGTCATAGCTTATTTAACAAACACAGGATCACAAGAGATCATGAACAAAATCAAAAGATGCATAACCATTAACACACCCAAAATATCATAAAATAACCAAGTCCTTTTACCAAACCACAACAATAGACAGAATTCAGCAACAACATGCATATGTTATTTAACAAAGACAGTTTCACAAGATAATAAGCTTCTACTCTTTACTTTGAAAATAATACACTTCTACCAAATAGAAAGAAGATTGCATGTAACTTGGGATTGAATTCAAATACCATGGACTCTCTCTTGGAATGAAGTTTCCTCTTTATTGCCCTTTTATCACCATATATTTTGTCAGCATAGTAAATAGAAAAGCACTAAAGTTACAAGAAGACCCCATCCTTCATGTTCGAAGTTGAAATTG